AACTGTTGTGATACTACACATGACGTCCTCCGCCCCGGAACGTTTCCGCCATCGCTTTCGGGGTGTGACAATGTGACCAAGAGCAGTTGTGTCACACTCTATGGCTTAACAACCTCCTTATATTAAGCACTTAATCCCTTAAGTCAGAAGCTCTAAGCTTTAGATCTAGAGCTCCTCAACGAATTAATGGATCAAATTTTCAACTTTATCCAGCCCCAAGGCTCAAACTCCTCTAAACTATAACCCTAACTCTAAAATGACCATTACTCAAGCATTATACAATGGAAATACATGAACAACAATATTTACTATATCAAAACGTACAGAGATCAATAAAATCCAACCATAATGTTCTAGAGTTTGTCCAAACTCCAATACCGCCATGGAGATGGATAAAGACGGACCAAAATACACCCAAAACCTAGATCTAATAGCATCAAGATAACAATTTTATACTTACAATGGTCCAAAGATATGATGAAGAAGCTGGATCTAATCAGGAACAACTCTTCCTTCAAGCTTCACAAAATGGCACAAAACACTCCAATATCAATAAGGGGGCTAAGGTTTGCAAGAACGGTTTCAAAGAATGGGAGCCACAAAATGAGGCAGACATTAAGGATAAGTGCCCTTAAATAGGCCCCAAAAGCACGCCTACCTCGTGGCAAACAAGCCACACCAAAAAGCACACATTGCTCAACACAAAAGCCCTAATCTCCAAGACAATGCAAATAATTAACCAATTGAAACACATACCGGAAATCGCATGTTACATCGTTACTTGTGCATCATAGATTTTTTATTTATATTGCTTTATTCTTATTTTCACAAATCCTTAACATTTGCCATTTACCGAGGCTTCCATTCAATGCTTGTAACAATTCTCCTTCCGACTTTCCAACAACGGGGCAGGTGTCAGACTCTATACATCGTGTTTTGGTTTTTGAAGTCTCTATATATTTCTACTTTTTTCTAAGTACTCTCTGCTGATATCAAACCCTATATTTTTGGCTCTCAGTGTTTTTTTTCATAGAACTATTGACCGTCTCTTATTCGGCGATCCAACACAAAATCGTAAGTATCTATGTAGACGCATATTTGGTGTATCTATATCTGATTTTTCCAATTGAATACATGAATAAATAGGAACTACTATATTAGCATCTAGTCTTTAAGATACAGTGGATATCTATTAGTATGTACTCGATTGAAGTTTCTATCCGATACATTTATTTTATGTTTTGTTTTAATCATAAACCAGATCCCCAAATTTCGAACATGAGACTCCAGAACTCATTACTTGTGTATTATGTTTTGTTTCAATTATAAATTAGATCCCCAAATCTCGAACACGAGAGTCTCGAATTCATTAACTTTTGTAACCGACCTTCATAAAAATGTGAAATACTTTTTTTTAGATTGAGAAATGAAGAGATAATTGGTAAATGGTTACTTAGAATTATGTCAAAACGATTTATAAAATATTATACTTTTTTCTTTGAGAAAACTACTAACATATGTAATTTTTTTTTATCCTAATGAGCTCCCCGTGAAAAGCGTTTTAGGAGTCCATATGAACTGTTCGAATCAGGTTGTATTAAATATTATATGTTTATATGGTTGTATATGCCCCTTTAAGATATTGTTATATATTTGTACTTTGATACTTTTATTATTGCATATATGCATTTAATTTACTTTTATTTAAGATATAATTTTAGAATTAATTAAAATCCTTCATTTTAAGCACACTTATTATAGATAATAATATAATATTCTCATACGTTAATTTTTAAAATATACATGTCCTAAAATAAAATCTAACTGAAAATTACAATTTCCTATGCAATTAATAACGAAAAAAAAAAGAATAAAATATTAAATCTTTAAGAAGTAGAGACATATGGCTATGGGGGAATGGAGTTCGTTGGTTTACGCGCCAAAGATTACAAGTTAATTACCATTTTAGCCCTTAACACCTTTTAAATCTAATAAAAAAACGGTTTAAAGGGCACATGCTTCCCCATTTCTTCATTTTTACTCCACAGCAACCCCAAGAACACTCACTTATTAGTGTGTTTTCTTGGTTTTTTTTTTTTTTTTTTAATAATTCAATCACATTGAAACACTGATCATTTCCTCTTCCTCTTCAAATTCGAAGTTCGCTTTCATCATTGAGCAACAATGAGACGAATCATCAGCAGAAAATGGGTGTTCTCACTCTACATTCTCCTTCTGTTTTCTGGATCTTTTCTCTCATCTGCTTCCGCAAAACCACCAAGAAGTGAGTATTAATCGATTACAACCTTCCGCTTTTTCTCTCTTTCTATTAATCTGCATAAACAGTTTATCGATTACTTGTTTCAATTGTAGAATTTGTCAGTGGCATTGCGTCGAACATAATGTCTGCACTTTTCAAATGGCTGTGGTCTCTTAAACCGACTAACAAAATTGCCTTGGGTAGACCCAATTTGTTAAAATTTACATTTTTTTTTCTCAATTCTGTAATCAAGGAGCAAGAGGTCGACTAATTTGAGGTTTTTGCTTTTGTGTTCTTCTTTTTCGTTTTTTTACAGTTATACCTAGTCGCTCGAGGATGAAGTTTGAAAGTGGGTATACTGTAGAAACAGTGTTTGATGGAAGCAAATTAGGGATTGAACCTTACTCAGTAGACGTAACACAATCCGGGGAGCTTCTTCTCTTAGATTCTCAAAACAGTAACATCCACAAAGTCTCAACACCCTTGTCTAAATGTAAGTGTAATTCATGATCTATAAGTTTATTATAAGAGCATGATATTAGGGTTTTTTTTTTTTTTTGATCTGCTTTTAAGCCGACTATTGCTACTTGAAATTGCTGTATCTTTTTAAACACACATCAAGCACCCCCTAATTCATATTCTTTTTAAAAAACTTTTTTTAGTGGAATAACTCATATATTAAAAGTGAAATGATAATTTGTGACAGATAGTGTAGCAAAGCTTGTAGCTGGATCATCTGAAGGGTATTATGGTCATGTGGATGGGAAGCATAGAGAATCCATGATGAATCACCCGAAGGGGCTTACAGTTGATGACAGAGGAAATATATATGTAGCAGACACTAAAAATATGGCAATTAGAAAGATAACTGATAAAGGTAATTAAAGGGCTCAATTTCACTCCATAGGTTAATTCGGATTCTATTTTAGGGTTAAATTCAAGAAATTGCATCATGCTTTCATTTATTTGTGTATTGTAGCATCCTACTTCTATTTTTAATTATTACCACATTTTTTTTAATCTATATAATCTGGATACAAAACAAGAGATTAAAACTACAATGCTATAATTTGGTCAATTTTACTAAGTACAATGACTGAATAAGAAAAAAAAAGTGAAAAATTAACATTGTAATGCTATAATAAACAAATAAATGAAAGTACATTGCTATTTCTTGCATTTATATACAGGAGTTGTTACAATAGCAGGAGGAAATGCAAAGTTTTCAAATGACTTTGATTTGTTATACGTTGCAAGTAGTTGCTCTATTTTGGTGGTTGATAGAGGTAAACAAGTTATTAGAGAAATCCAACTTCATCAAGATGATTGCTCTTTTAATCACTTTAATGAAAATCTACTTTCAGGTAAAAATTCAAAATTCAGAATTATTATTTTCATGTTTTTTATACGAGTTTTAAGCATTAAAAAAACGGTGAAATGTGAATTTTTCGATATTTTCAGGGATTGTGGTTGTTTGTGGTGCTGTGTTCTTTGGTTTCATGTTAGCATTGTTGCAACGTAGAATATCCGCAATGTTTTCATTTTCTGTGGTAATTATTTGCAATTTTTTTTGTTTAAATTTGTGATTTTTTTTTTATTTGTAGATGTTAATTAATTAGAGAATTCAAAAAAAAAAAAAAAGAGAAAAGGGAATCAATCCAATCTAACATAATGAAAGGAATTACATTTCTTCAAGAATCGTTCATTCTATTCCGTCAAACAAAACAAATAACATTTCATTCCGACGGAATCAGCCATTCCATTCCTTCCTCCATCATACCAAACACTACCTTAATAACATTCCATTGCTCTCTCTCTCTCAGGAACCAAAATCTCCTATAAAAGAGATTCATTCATCCGTATACCCGATGCCGATTCCGATTCCAATGCCAGTTAAATCAGTGAGACCACCACTAATTCCACCCGAGAACAACGAACCCGAGAACGAAGAATTCGGATTCTTCAATTCCATTGGAAAACATCTCACCAATGCCCAATCATCTCTCTCCGAAACCTTTCACACTTTACTCTCTAATCCCAAAAAGAAACCACTCATTAACACCTATCAAACAATCTACCATCAACCACCTCCATATTTCAACACATGGCCCACACAACAAACCTTTGTAATTCCTCCCCAATACCCACCCCCATTAGTATTCCCCACAAGAAAACCCCATAAATTCATCACAAAAAAACCTGAAAAAACCAACCGGACTCGAAATATGTATCATCGGCATAACAAATACTTTTTGTCGGGCCCACGCACTTATTATGAGGAGAACAACGAGACAACAAACGAGGTTGTTTTTGGGCCAATTCAAGAACAAGAAAGAACGGATGTGTCGATAAAGGCTATTGACTATAGCCATCCGAGTTATAGTACCCGGGATTTAAGACCAAGGTATAATTACATGGGGTATGCGTAGCAAGATTTAGTAGTTGTTGGTTTCTTTATGCCAGCTATCTAGCAGACTGTTGTGTATTAATTTATATTTTACATGATGATCTTAGAATGGGTGGTGTGAGCCAGCTTAGGGGTTGTTAGAAGAATAATACATAGTTTATCTGTATGATATGTATTTGTAGGTTTCGTAGTAGTGACAATGTTTTAAGGTAAGTAAAACATGTATGATGATCGTAGATTATCTTTTTATCGTAAATATTTATTGAGTGGTTGTGTTCCTGATTTATATCATGATGCTTGTGGGAGAGTGTGGTTTGGTTGTTGGAAGAATAATACATGAGATGCGCGTAATATGTTTGTATCGATAGGTTTGTAGTGTTGGTATCGTAACATGAAAATTGAGATTTGAGAAATGACAATCATAGATTGGATTTATTATAAAGTTGTCTTGTAACGACAAATGTATGTATTTTTACATTATCTTTGGGCTAATCTGTTCGTATAAATAAATGATTACAAAGAATGTTTGAAATTTTTTTAGACAAAAAGAATAAAGATTGATGGAAGGAAGGAAGGCGATGTCCAGACTTGAACCTGCACTTCTCACATCTTACTGTTAGGACAAACATAAAACATACAATACAGATAAATCGTTAATTATGTGCGCCATTGACACTCGAATGTCCTTCACCGGGACTTGGACCAGAGCTCTTGATCCCACGAAGAACAAGAACTTGTTCATAACGTGATTTCACCATCTTCCCGGAATTTTTCACAACCATTGCCTTATGGTGGTGTCGCTGTTTTGGAACCTTTAACTTGCGGGCTTGAATTGAAGTGAACAAAGAGGTGAAGATCAAAAACATAATCACGAACAATAGAATGTTTGATTTAGTTGCCATGGATTTAGAATCTAGTTTCACTTGTAAGTATATAGTCAAAGATGGATTTTGAAGAGGTTAAGGATGTTTTGAGGACGTTAAGGATATTTTTGGTGTTTAAATTGGTGAAGAGGTGAAGGTATTTATAGATGAATGGGGGGTTGGAACTTGGAATGGTTCTGGGAAGCTTGAAAGGAAGGTGCAAAGATGGTTTTAATTGAGGGCCAAATTTGAAAAATTCAATGGTGGCTAAAGAGTGAAATTAAATGATGTAAGCATTAAATTGTTTGAATATATTATAAGTCTTGGTCAAAAGTCAAAACGTGGACCGATATACATAACTTGTACAGGCAACGCATTAAAATCTATTAATATATCAAACATGATTAAAGAATATAAATTTTCTAAATTATATATAGAGTAAATTACAGAAATGGTCTCTATGGTTTTGTTGAATTTGCAGTTTCGGCCATTAAGTTTAGAATTTGATAGATTACATCCTATGGGTTGTAAAAATTATACTTCAAATCCTTGCTTCATATAAAAAAGAGCAAATTACTTTTTTTTTTTCTCTTTTTCTTAACAATTTATTATATATATATATATATATATATATATATATATATATATATATATATATTATTTGATCTTATTTTAATAGAATTGATATAGATTATTTATAAAATAATTTTTACTTTTTTAAATCAATTATATAAGTTATATAAAATCATACTATTATTTATTTTTAGATTTATTTATTTATTTTTCTTTTGGTGATTTAAAAATCTTTTAATATTTTTGACGTTTTACTTGAATACATTATTTGATTTTTTTTAACGTTTTGTTTGTTTACAGTATATAATGATTTTTTTTTCTTTTTTTACGTTTGGTTCGAATAGACAAATTAAAATAATAACCCAAAGATTTTTGACTTTTTATTAAATTATATTATTTAATGTTGGTTTTTTAACGTTTTGTTCTTTTACATTATATAAATATGTTTTTTACATTTTGTTTGAATAAACAAATTAAAATAATAAACCGGATGACAATAAATCGTCCAATATAATTATTTAATATTGTTTTTATGTGTTTTTTGTTTATATCATTTATTTATATGTTAGTGTTTGTCTTTTATTCAGTTTTAAGAGGTTTTATGTATTTTTTGTTTACTTCATTCGTTTATATGTCAATGCTTCTTCATTTATTGCCTAAATAATTATATTTTTTCGTATAACTATTTATGATAAAAAAAAACAAAGTAA